ACTCAGCAACAGACAGAGAGCTGGATGGAAGTCTTAGTCTTTTTGTAACCTAATCTCAGAAGTGACATTCTATCACTTTGGCCACATTCTAGTCATTTAAAGTGAATTAGCTGGTCCAGCTCTCACTCAGCGGGAGGGGATTACCTAGGGGGCAGACACCAAGGGGAGGGACCACTGGATCCCTCTTAAAGGTCACTTACTACAGAGTCCTGGCCTCTCTCTACCTGTTGTATTATCTATAAATATATACCTGATAGGTCATGGTGAAGTTTAAAAGAATTAAAATATTAAGGTGCTCAGAACAGTGGCACAGGGTGAGCACTGGAGAAACATTAGCTAAGTATGGATACAAAAATAATGCAAATGCATACACCTACACTGTGCAATACACAGTACTAAGTACATGATGGTTGTTCAAGAAATACCCATCGTTACTCAGAAGAAGTTTGAGCATGTGGAAATTACCCCAGAAACAAAAGTATTTTATAAAAGTAAAAGTTCCTACCATAATTACCAGAGGCCTCACAGTCACCTTCAAAATTTCCCACGAGCTTTCCCCTTATCAGAACTTTCCACGCAGCAAGCTTCAATGCACTCCTGAGTCATCTTTAAATCTCAACAGAAGAAGCCAATCACACTTCGCTCTGAAAATGCACACCGTTTGCCTGATTGCCGAAGTTGCCCAATTTGCAAAACCGCACAATTTGTAAGTTACAGAAGGAAGGGCAAGAGCTCGTCTGTCTAGCTGGAGGAGTTTTCATTGTGCTCAGCAGTTTAGGTGAGATTAGGGGCTCACCTGGGAGGTTTTTTTAAACAAGACCTATCCTGATATTTGAAGGAAAGAAAGGTTTCTCAGCACACCCCTCACCTTTTTTTTTTTTTTTTTTTGAGAGAGAGAGAGAGAGAGAGAGAGAGAGAGAGAGAATGAGCAGGGGAGGGGCAGAGAGAAGGAGACACAGAATCTGAAGCAGGCTCCAGGCTCCACGCTGTCAGCACAGAGCCCCACACGGGGCTTGAACTCACAAACCGCGAGATCATGACCTGAGCTAACGTCAGATGTTCAACCAACTGAGCCATCCAGGCACCCCAGCCCTCATCTTTATTTTTTTTTTTTTAATTTTTTTTTCAACGTTTATTCATTTTTGGGACAGAGAGAGACAGAGCATGAACGGGGGAGGGGCAGAGAGAGAGGGAGACACAGAATCGGAAACAGGCCATCAGCCCAGAGCCCGACGCGGGGCTCGAACTCACGGACCGCGAGATCGTGACCTGGCTGAAGTCGGACGCTTAACCGACTGCGCCACCCAGGCGCCCCCCAGCCCTCATCTTTAAATGGTAGTACAAAGCGGGAGATGGGATGAGGAGAGGTGTCCTGCTTCATACGTGTCCCTTTTGCGCAATCCAGGGCTCAGTGGGCGGGGAAGGAGGCCAGCCTGTCATCCAGCAGATGTGGTAAATGAGTCAATAATCAGGAGATGACAAAAGATTGAGGACCCCCCACCCCCCACTCCCCAGACCACAAAGTCACGCATACAACACAAGCTTGGCAACAACAGGAACCCCCAAGGGCAAATAACACAGTTCATCTTAGCATACATGCCCTTGTGACAGAGTACTCTAGCTCACAGTGCCCACTGTGCAAAGGCCACCCTTCTCTGATCCAAAAGCCCCATGCAGGCGCCTGGGTGGCTCAGTTGGTTAATCAGCCGACTTCGGCTCAGGTCATGATCTCGCAGTCCATGAGTTGGAGCCCCGCGTCGGGCTCTGTGCTGACAGCTCAGAGCCTGGAGCCTGTTTCAGACTCTGTGTCTCCCTCTCTCTGACCCTCCCCTGTTCATGCTCTGTCTCTCCCTGTCTCAAAAATAAATAAAACATTTGAAAATTTTTTTAAAAAACAAAAGCCACATGGAAGGAGCAAGAAAGAAGTAGGACTAGAAAAGCCAGTCTGGCAGCATGGAGAGGTGATCAATGTGGGTCGACCAACAGGCCTGTCCACTCTTGTCCTACCAACCTTTAGCAACTGCCCAGAGGAGATTTTTTTTTTTTCCTTTAATCACCCTAGTTGACTTAATCAAGAATGCATTGACGTAAAGGAGGAAACAAGAAGAAATTTCTTCATACCCCGGGAGGCATCTGACAGGGTAAGAATGGATGGGTTAGCTGTATTTTTAGAAAAACTGTCTCTGCAGAGAGCTGGTTTCCCTGTTCTTTGTTTCAACATCTCCAAAACCAAATTGCTTTTTGAACAACCATGGCCTAGCAGGCTGGAGAACTGAAGGCTCACGTAAACATGGCCAGAGTAGGGACCGTGTTTCTTCAGTATAAGCTCTGGGAGTAGAGGGCACCTGAACTGAGAGGCCAGGGGTGGAGGGAAGGAAAACAAATTCTGGTAATAAATTCGACACACTTGGGTTTTAAATTAAAAGTGGAAAATGTTATATTTTCCCAGATAAAAGTGAAACTATGGGTGAATTTTTCTGTTGTCACTATTATGTTCGATGTGCTCTAAAAAGATAAAGATAAAATAAATACAATTTAGTTTTTTTTCCCGCTCACGATCAGCTAAGGAACGAATTTATGCAAAGTGTACCCACAAAATTCGGTGCTTTATTACAGGCTCTACCACTATTTTCTGACTGTTGAGTGCGCGGATCTCAACTCCTTAACCAGGCTATAAGCAGGAGTTGAGGATAAATGAAAGGGATATAGACGAGTAGTTAGAATGGGGCTCTGCAGCGTTTTCCAACATTATTAGCTGTTTCATCTCGAGCGAATTAATCTCCCTGTGTCTCAGTTTCCTCAAGTATAAGATGGAGATAACAACAGTACCCATCACGTAGGGTTATTGAGAAATCCTTAGAGCCATCCACGCCTGGCACATAGTGGGCACTCAGTAAATATTAGTTATTATTTTGTATCCCCCCAGAGTACCCTTCCACAAACTCAGCTTCAGTCGTATTATTGTTTTTCAAAAATCTGTGGTCACTGCCTCCCTTTGAGGTTAAAGGTCTTAAGAGGCCGACTGAGGTTCCCATGCTGTCCACTCGCCCAAGTCTCAGTAAATCCCCAAGTGCATTCTCTCATTGTGCTTTAACTCCTGATGCAATGTTTTCACTCCCCACCCCCAACCTAGTAAGCCGAAATCTTCTCTCATGAGTATCTGGTTATTGGCATTGCTCCCTCACTAGAATGAAAACTGAATAATAACCTTTCTCAGAACCCAAACAAGGGCTGGCACATAATAAACGTTCAGGAAACACTAAATGATTGAATGACACCATGTCTATTAATTTTTTTTCAAGATTTAGATCAGATTTCACCAATTCTATGCATGTAGTCTTTCTAGATGTCTTTATAAGATTACATTTTATTTCTTCTGGGCTCTAACAGCCTTTTTTTTTTTTTTTTGGATGATTTTATTCATTACATATTCACTATTAATTTTTTTTAAATAATAGCTAACACTGAAGAAGTGCTTAGGATAGGCCGAGTTCTTCACATATATCAAACTCACTTAATCCTCACTGTCCCATTTATAAGGTAGGTACTATTTTTATTCTTTTTACAGATGAGGAAACTGAGGCACAAAGAAATTAAAGACTTTGGCCGAAGACACACAGATGGTAAATGGAAGGCACCGTTCTTCACCCAGTCCAGACTTGTTCCTTTCCACTCACTGTCTCTCCTACAAAGAATCATCCGATTCCCATTTCGGTAGCACCTTTCCCCAGCTTCAGCGTCAGTGGCTCATATTATGCAGAACAGCAATTCCACGCGGCGCATACAGCATACATTAAATTAACATGTGGTTCACTCTGGAGTATCATCACCTCTCTAGGGCTTCGCGGGGTGTGCGGAGTCAGCGCCTACAACTTGCGTTGGACTTCCGGGGGATTTCAAAGATGAGGATGCACCGCCTTGTACTGGAGGGTCACCTAGTCTTCCTGAGGCCTCAAGACCCCAACCCACATTTCTGGCACTTCCAGTGATCTTGAACTCTCCTTTTAGCCAACGCTGCCCATGATCTCCATCCCTGGCCTGCCACGCAAGTCAGTGGCTCTCAATTCAACGTCGCCAGGTCCGCTGGTAAATTAATAGAGCTTACCTCCTTCCCACCCTGGGACGCAGGACTAACGAGTGGTCCAAACCCACCTTTAACAGCCCAGCACCAGGTCCTGGGCCCGTTGCAGACCCAGCCGGAGCCCCCTGCCCTACTCCCGCCCAAAGTTGACCCAGCGTTCCAGACTCGGCCCGCCCGCCGGCGCCATCCGCCTCCCCTCTCGCGCGGGTGACTCAACCCGGGGAAAGAGAAACCTCTCGGTTTTTTCCGACCTGGGCAGGGGCGCGCGTCCCGCCCCGCCCACCACCCTAGCCCCCGCCCGCCCGAAGTTGTCCTTCTGGTTTGCGCCCGGGAAGCGCCGGCGTGGCTCCCCGGGGTGTGGCCACAGGACTTCAGCGACGCCTTGCCAAAGGGCGGCCCCCTCCCCAACCCGGAAGGCAGACCCCGCGCGGCCGCGGCGAGCCGGGCATGCTCACTGGCGCGGGCCGGCCCGCAGCCTGGGCAGGAGAGGCCCTCGCTAGGCGGCCCCCCGCGCTGCCAGCTGGACTCGGGCGGAGCCGGCGCCCCAGCGCAGGGTGGCTCTGCCAGTCCCCGCGCGCCTGAGCGGCCGCACACGTGTCCAGGCGTCACGTCCGCGCGCGCCCCCGGGGCTTGCGTCAGCTGCCGCTCCAGAAGCTGGTGGGCCGGGGTTCTGCGCACCGCTCGGGTTCGCGGCCCGCGACGCCGCCGGGAGGAGGAGTCTGGGGGCGCGGAAGACTGTTTGGAACGCCGGGGGCCGCGGAGATCGTCGGCGCAGTCCAGTCCCTCTCCTGCAGGAGCCGGCCGTTTCTGCTGCTCGGTTCCGTGCTGGGCGCGGTGGCGTTGCCTCGGAGCCTGCCGCCCGCGGGGCGCGCACCGCCTTGACCCCGGCGGCCCCGCGGCAGGCAGGCGCCCGCAGTTCCATGGTTGGTTCGGAGCGCGATGAGCCGCCCGTCCTCCACCGGCCCCAGCGCTAACAAACCCTGCAGCAAGCAGCCGCCGCCGCAGCCTCAGCACGCTCCGTCCCCGGCTGCGCCCCCGGCCGCCGCCACCATCTCGGCTGCGGGCCCCGGCTCGTCCGCGGTGCCCGCCGCGGCGGCGGTGATCTCGGGCCCCGGCGGCGGTGGCGGGGCTGGCCCGGTGTCCCCGCAGCACCACGAGCTGACCTCGCTCTTCGAGTGCCCGGTCTGCTTTGACTATGTCCTGCCCCCCATCCTGCAGTGCCAGGCCGGGCACCTGGTGTGTAACCAATGCCGCCAGAAGTTGAGCTGCTGCCCGACGTGCAGGGGCGCCCTGACGCCCAGCATCAGGAACCTGGCTATGGAGAAGGTGGCCTCGGCAGTCCTGTTTCCCTGCAAGGTAAGCCCAGGTGCCACCCGCGCACCTCCGCCTGGCGACCTCCCAGAACTCCTGTGTCCTCCAGCCCACTCGTATGAGCTGAGAGGCAGGTGGCATCTCTCTTATTTTAAAAAAAGAAATGTTTACACTTGTCCACCCTCCCCCACGCCCACCTGTCCACTTTGGGATAACTCTGAGCTGACAGTTGCCCGAGTGCTGACCCCGGAATAATTGGCACGCGATCGTTTTTTAGAACGCATCACAGCCCTCCCCTCCAGGTGCCTGCGAACTCTGTAGACTCTGTGCTTGGTGTGCTCGGTAGGGTTAGACTGGACAAGTAAAACTTGGACCAGGAAGCTGGCGGGCGGGGAGGGGGGGGTGGGTGTTGGGGAGGGAAGAAATAAGCGAGCTAAACGCACCCTTTACCAGCGCTCCGCTTGTAAGGATCGGTACTGGATTGCCCCTGCACCCCGCGCCTGCCCTCTGCGCACGCCTGACACGTGGGAGCCCTCGGGAGTGTAGCTAAAAAAAGGGCGCCTACAGCCTGTTTTCCTCCAGCAACACGAAAACCCTGCGAACCACGCCTTTCCCTCTCCTAGCCTTCCAAGGAGTAGGGAGATGTGTGTTTGTACTAAGTGGGGTGAAAACAAGAGTTGATCAGGAATTTATCAGGAAGGGCACATAGGAGCTCTTACAGTTCTCCCAAGCCCATGACTTTATTTATTTAGTTTAAAAAGTTAGCAATGCTCTTGCAAAAAAAATGCAAACCACTGAAGAAAAGTCACATGAAAGACCAAGACCTCTCACCCCCTTTCCCACCATTGTTAGGCTTACTGTGTATCTTTATGGATTTGTGTAGCCACGTTTACACTTTCACAGCTGAATATAGAATCCTGGATGTCAGCGTGTGTCAAGAAGCTTCCTAAACACACACAGACATAAATTCTTCTCCAGAAAGAACTTGTGCAAATTGCTGTTGTAAAGTCGTATTATTATACGTATTTTTTCTATGTCTGAAACCTAGCTCTACCTCATTGTATTAAATGGCTGCCTAGTTTTTCGTTGTGTGGACATATTATATAGCATCTATTTACTTACATCTAGTAATTAAAAATCTTCAGGAGCAGTTTCTGAGACATACCTGTCTGTAGTACCTCATGATCATCTAGAGCTGGACCATAAAGTTCGTTTTCTAAACTTAGAAATGGAAATCATGTCATTAATAGTCTTTTTTTTTTTTTTTTTTAAAGTAACTGTTCTGCCTCTTGGGCCATCTAAGCTGTCTTGCATTTCTCCTTGGTGCTGCTTATTTTTATAGGGCAAGAGCTTACTTTTAAATTAAAAATAATCCACCAGAGAATTGAAGCTTGGGACTCAAGTCAGTAAAATGAGTGATTTAATTTGGTCTGTGCCCTGCCACAAATCAAGTTTAAAATAGCATATTCAAATACAGGCTTGAATCCGTGTTTGGGCTATGGGTTTTCAGTTAACCTTAATAAATTACTCTGCTTTCAACCACCTCTCATATAATGTTGACTAATTCATCCAGCCCAGTAGTTGTTTCTCATGAAATTTGGATGTTTCTATAATTTTTTTAGGGTGATGAAGAAGATGGAAGCCTTGTGGTCAAGAAAAGATTTGGTGATAGTTGACATTAAGAGTGGGTATTTGATGTTTGAGATATATCGTGGGGACTGCAGGGGGTGTCCCATAGGATTTCTGAGGAGCTACCTTTTCAGCTCTTCGCTTTGTCCCAAACGTTCAGTGGCTTACAGAAGAAATGGCTTTAGGTGAATTACAGTTCACAGAGGGACATTTGGTTTCAGTCAGTATTCCATAACTTATTTTTAAAAAGCAATCTCGGGGCGCCTGGGTGGCTCAGTCGGTTGAGCGTCCGACTTCGGCTCAGGTCACGATCTCGCGGTCCGTGAGTTCGAGCCCCGCGTCGGGCTCTGGGCTGATGGCTCAGAGCCTGGAGCCTGCTTCCCATTCTGTGTCTCCCTCTCTCTCTGCCCCTCCCCCGTTCATGCTCTGTCTCTCTCTGTCTCAAAAATAAATAAATGTTAAAAAAAAAAATTAAAAAAAAAAAAAAACAATCTCATAAGAGCATTGTGTTGCTCCCAAGAAGAAGGGAAGGAAGCAGTTATGCTATATAAAGTGTGAAGTTTCACTTTGAGGACCTAGGATTCTGGTTCCTATTGAAGCATGTTTTTTGTTCCTAATGTGTAATATGCTAGTGAAGCCCTTCTTGAAGAACAGTTCTCTTGGGAATCAGGGGTACTCAGTGTTTCTAGACATGTCAGTGGTTTTCCAAGTCCCTATTCTATTTGAATGCATTTAAGGAAAGCCATCACGTTGCAAGCTGAAACTAAACAGGGTCAACCATTCCCCTACAGACCAGGCACCAAGTTTAGAAAGTGATCTTGGAGTCACTCTTGTGTGAGAGATTCATAAAGCTGGAGAATGCATGCCTCAACTTTGACCAGTAATGCAAACTATTGACAGGACAGCTCAGCCAATTAGTTTAGATAAACCAAACTTGGATATTATACAGCAAGCACCAAAGATAGGTCAGTTGAGGGTTGAGAGCAATAGGGAGTGATCAGACCTATGTCAGACTTCAGCAAGATAGGTCTGTGTAGCGAGCCCTTGGCTTGCGCTTACTCCTGGAAATCATAGGGACTGCCTTGTCACTGCCCCTACCTGCTCTCAGAACTTCTCTAATGGGCTGACTCATGTGAGAAAAACAATGTTGGATGATATACCAGAGCCCAGATCTCAAGTGTAGCCGGGCGCTGCCATTGTTTGCCTGAGAGACCACCTCTTGGGGCCTTGATTTCCTCATCTGTAAATAAAGGGATTGAACTGCTTGACTTCCAAGGACCTGTAGCTTCTAGAATACCATGAAAAGAAGGAAGGCTATGTGGAATGGTTATTGGGTGCCTGTGTCCCAGCTATCTTTCAAGGGTCATTTATTAGTTTGCCTTTCTTTTTTTCAGGTAAAGAAACAAATGTCTATAGAGAGGTTAGGGTTAAGTGACTTGTCAAGATCAGTAGGCCTGTTCATGAACCTGCATCCCAAAGGCACACATCCTTTGTGCTATGTAGGGATTTTTGCCTTTTATTCCAAGGCCCCAGACTATAACTTAAGGTTGGCACCCACCAGGAACAAACAAAACCATGTGACCAGATACGTTTACCAGATGGGCCTCTGATGGGAACATCCCAAAGAGACAACATACATGTTCGCTATGGAATTCACTGGTAGGAATTTTGTAGGACATGTGGGATGGGCAAGTCAGGGGGAAATAGCCCACAGATCTAACATTTGGGGGTATTTCATCACAGCTCTGAACTGCTCATGCTTCAGTTGGCTCACAAATGGATTTGTTGCCAAATAGCTTCCTTACATAGGTATGGGGCCACTTAATTAAAGGCTAAAGTGTTGCCAGCACCTTTGACAGAGGGAACCACATGCATTATTAGCTCAGGTCTCCTTTTAAGAAAAGGATCTCTATCAAGTAGGGCTCTCTTGCACTTGTGCTATTTTTAGTCCATTCTATGGCTTGCTCTATGCCTGAGAAGTTTTGACATCCTCTTCCCATATCTCAAACCCACCAGCTCTCAGTGGAGCGTGGGTGTAGGGGGAGAAGTGAAGGTTGACACATTTGTACCCCCACTCAACAGTGTGTGTTATCTGAGTATCAGCCAAGTATTTCTCTCCACAAAGGTGGGGAATGCTAAACCACTCCAGCCCACTTACACTCTGAAGCATTTTCTCTCCATTTTTTTCTTTGTTTTCTCTAAAAGTTTCTAACAGCGTGTCTCCAGATAATCACTGAACTGGAAAGCCTCAGTCAGACAAGTCTCCCCTTGCAGTTGGGTTGTGACAGTGTTGCTTTTGTTCCTGAAAATAGAAAGTTAAAAGCCCCTCAGTGTGGACAAACCTACAAGGCAGCGGGGACAGGTGAAGTGAGGGAGAGAGGTGTCTGACCGTGGCCAAGGGTTCAGGAGACCTCAGGGAGCAGTCGAGACACTTTCTGCTCAGCCCTGGCTGATCGGCAGGGGGTGAGAGTGTGGATGCAGCCTGCCAGACCTTTGGATTTTTTTTTTTTTTTTTAAAAAAAGCCAAAAAATCTGGTTTTTTTTTTAAATGTGAAGTATCTCAATTTTTTTTTTTTTTTTAACATTGGCCAAATTCATATTGAAGGCCAGAACGTGCAAGCCAAACCACCCCTGTCTGCAGACCAAATTCCAGCTGCCAGCTTGCAACCTCTGGTCTGGTTCTCTTTTAGAAAGCATTCGCTGAGCCTGGAAGTTTGCCTTTAACTCTTACTCTCCATGAACTTTGGAATTCTGAGCGGTCCCAACTGTAGGTGGTTTTATAGCTTATTTTCATCTATGTTTTGCCAAGAGAATAGTCTATCCTGGCCCCCTGGGGAGCCTGAACTCTTGTCCCAGTGACTAGACATTTGACTTTGAACAGGTCAGTTTATGTCTTTGGACCTGAGTGTCTTTAAGAGAAAGAGTTGGACTAAATCATTTTACCATTATTAAATCATTATACCATTAGGGAAAATTTTTTTCCCCCTAAAATTTCACAATCTAGGGAAAAGAGTACTAGGCAAAAGACAGAACTGGGTTCTCATCCTGGTTTTGTATGACCTTGGTCCAGTCACATACTTCCCTGAGCTTGTCTGTTCATCAGTTAACAAGAATGGAGATAACACCAAGCTGGTAGGTTGCTCCGAGATGTGACTAGAATTGCTAAGTCTTTTGCTTCACCAGATCAAATGGAAGGTGGGTGGGATCAAGGCGGTTGCTGGGTGATGGATGATCAGTTGCCCAGAAGTCTGAGAGGATAAGCCACTTTGCCAAAACCATTTCAAAGGTTTTTTCTTCATCTTGAAAACTCCTCTAAGACAAAGACCATTTACTTTGGCTATTTCCCCTGTGGTCTTCACTACTGACCGAAGTTGGCTAGGTTTACTCTTGAAAGCGTGTGCAGGCAAGCACCAGAG